AGGGAAAGAAAAAATTTGCCCAGCATAACACTGATACCAAAACTTGCCTAAGACAAAACTAAAATAAGGAACGAGAGATAAGTCTTAGTAATCAATGTAAAAAATCTTAAGTGAAATATCTGTGTAGTGAGTACAACAATTCATTTAGTGAGTATTTTACTGAGGGCTTACTATAGCTTAGCACTGTCCTGGGGAAACAGCAGTGAAAAAAACAAAAATATTGGGACATTTATTACATAATTTGTATATTAATAGGTCAAAAGAAAAAAACAGAATAATCTCTAAGGATGCCCAAAGAAGCATTTGATAAACTTCAATATTCATTCCTAATTTTTAAAATACACTTAATAGAGCAGAACTAGATGGATACATCTTGGACATTGTAGGACCAAATTTGGCTCAAACCAAAAATCTAGCAGGTATGCTTAAAGTATACACTAAAGAATTTTTTAGTTGCAAGTGACCGCTGGCTTCAGCAAAACAGAATTTACTGGCTACCCTTCAGGTAAGGGCTACACAGCTAGATTCAAGGCTTCACATGATGTCATAAAGACCTGGCATTTCTCCAACTCTCAGCTGTACTCTTTTTCATCTTGATTTTATTTTCAGGCTCTGTGGGATGGCAAAATGGCTGCTAGGAGCGCCAGATCTTCATCTGCCCAGGTTCAAAACAAGCAGGAAAATAAGAGTAACTTTACTCAGTTGCTCTTACGTAAATCACAGGATTCATTGTAATCAGCTCAGCTTGGGTTATTTCCCTTTCCTGAACGAATAACTGTGGCCAGAGGAATGTGGTTCCTAACTGGCTAGACTTGAATAACGTTTTACCCCTAGATGCACATGGACTGAGAGTAGAGAAGGAAATGTTCCTGGTAGAAAGAGGAATGTTTGCTAGGTGGCAAATAACACATTAAAACAAAGTTCTGACTCAGAGTAGCAAATAAATAAAATAACTAGGAATAAATTCAGTAAGAAATAAGAAGGACCTATGTTAAAACTCTGTTGAGTAACATAAAAAGGATTTAAATTTATGAAACAGTGTAACTTGTTCCCGAATAAGATTTAATATGAAAAAGAAGTCAGTTTTTTCCCAAATAACTCTGTAAATTCAATATGATCCCAAACACAACGGCAACATAGTTCCCCCTCAAACTTTGACAAAATAATTAGTTCATCTGGAAGAATAAACATGTCAAACTACCCAAGTGACGTCTTTTAAAGTTAAGAATAATAGGAAAATTAGTTCTCCTTATATTAAAGCACGTTATAAAGTTGTAGTAATTTTTAAAGAATGGCATCATTGTAGAAACAGTTGGAGAGATCAGTGAAGAGGAATTAACAACCAAGAAGCATACAAATATTTTAATATTTTAGTGGTTATTAAAGTTTGCTTATTCATTTATTTAGTCAACATCTTATGAGCTCCTGCTATCTGCTATGTACTGTACTATGACTAATCCAGGATAATTAAGACACAGTCTCTATCTGCAATCTAACTTGGGAAAAGTAGAGCATGGGTGTGAGTCAGATAGACTCACATAGACTCACAAGCAGTACTCATTGAGAATGGTATTGCCTGTTTGTGAAATGTTCCAGAGACATAGAATGTAGCAAATAGTCAATAAATGTTATACATTGTTTAAAAATGTGGTAAGAGCTATAATAGATGGTGTGAACAAAGACAGATCTAGTGGTTTACTAAATATTAGAGAAAGCTGGTATTGCTTCCCTTGATCAATTTAATCTGTCTACACCAGGGCTGTCCAGTAGACAGCACAATGATGGAAATGTTCTCTACCTGCATTGTCCAATGTGGTAGCCAGTGGCCATATATAGTTACTGAGTACTTGAAATATAGCTAATGTGACCAAAAAACTGAATTTTAAATTTTATGTAATTTTAGTTAATTTAAATAGCCACATGTAGCTAGTAAACTACCCGATTGGACAATAGAGGTATATATTGCCAAGAGTAATATAAACAGTAATAATCAAACTGAAGTATGATATAATGTTTTATATTATTATCTGGGGATCTGGGAACTATCCTGGTTGTTAATATCAGTTACTTGTTTCACCCCACCCCATGCTCCCTTAAAGTTTCTGAATTCACTTATTGTTTTGCAGTCTTCTGTTGTGATTGAGTCAAATGCACACCCAAGTGTAGGGTCTGGATTTGGGGGGATATGCTGTTGCAGAGACCAGATGGGTTGGAGAGATACAAATAGGTAATTGCTGGCTGAAAGAGACAGTCTCCGGTAACTGGTGCTTTAGACAGAGATTGGAGCTGCTAAAAACAGAACGTTGGGTTGTCTGCTGGCCTCAGTTTCTCCCTCTTATATACACCTCCACAGGTTGTACTTAGTCTGTGAACTTCTTTTCTCTTTCAAATGTACCCTTGACTTTCAGTTACATAAAAATGTCAGAGGGGACAAAGTTACAAACATGGTTTGCCACCCTGTACTATGTTAATGAGAAAAAGAAAAGCAACAAAAACCTTGAGACCAGATTTCTGAGTATAGTCACTGAAAGAAGAATTCTGAATAAGAAAACAGGTAAAGTTACAGATTAAGGCCACAGCAGGGTAAAGAATAAAAACACGGGCATCGAAGTTCCCAGAGGCCACATTCTAGAACACATCATCTCTCTTCTTTGAGACCTGTGCTCTGGGTCAGAAGAGGTGTGTGCAACATGTGTGCCAATCTGGCACACGTTTTCTTAGGCTGTCAAGCTATATCTGATTTAGTAAAGTTAAAAAACAAATTTTTTTTTTTTTTTTGGAGAATTCTAAATTTTTTTACTTGGGATGTAGGGGGACCCTCTAAAATACTGGCCTGAGATAACCTAATCTTCCCTTGGTTATTTCAACAGCTGCAATTTGAGTAGAGGACAGCTTGAGTGGAGATGATGTGAGATACAGTCTCTTCAGTACTATTCAGTGTTGCTTGAAAGGCTTACACATCTGTCCATCCACTGAGGGATGCAAGGGAGCCTCAGAAGTGAGCTTAGTCTACTCCACTTAATGGGTCAAGTAGTAGACTTAATAGTCCAGGGTGAAGAATCCTCTGATTGCTATCTCCTTTCTTCTGTCTAGGGTTATACACATAGACAGAATGTAACCATGTTTTCCTTCGAGAAATATCAAACTTTTAGACTCATTTGTTAACCTCTTGGTTAAACTATTTAAGCTATTGCCTACCACTTTAATTTAAAAATACATCAAATAACAAAAATATATAATTTAGTTCTGAATTATAATCAGTTACAGGAAAGAAAAGTAAGGGAACTGGAGTGAGGTAAAAGAAAAGGTCAGGAAGAAAGAGAGAGACTTAAGACAAATGGTAATCAAAGTAAACTCTTCTTATTTCTGTTGTTTATAAATAAATGATCTATTTTCATAAGGCTTTCATATTCCAATTAGTTGGAATGACCACTGTTCATATTTCAGTCATTCTTCTAAGCACAGGGGGCTTGGGTTTCCAGATGATAACCTTGGCAGCCAAACAAAAGTGCTCTGAACTAGATGGTGTTGCCAGAGCACTTCACCGGCTGGAAGAACTCCAGCCTAGGAATAGATCCAGCCCTGCTCAGAGGTTTTCTCCTCATGACATAAGGATATCTTAGTGGCAGCTGCTGGCTGATGATTTTCTACTAGATAGGTTGTCATTTTCTCTCTTCAGAAGCAACATTTCACTTCTCTTGAGAAGGAGGAACTTCTATTAAGGAGGAGCTTGACTAAGGTGACCTACTTCTGTCTTTACCAAGCAGGCAAGTGAAAAGCAGTTTTACAAGGGTCTTCATTGGGGGTTTCTGTTTCTTTCACAGAGATTGAGACAGTGAAATTGGCCCGTTCTGTCTTCAGTAAACTACACGAGATTTGCTGCAGCTGGGTGAAAGACTTCCCTCTCCGCAGGAGACCCCAGCTTTATTATGAGACATCAATCCATGCCATCAAAAACATGCGCAGGAAAATGGAGGACAAACATGTCTGCATTCCTGACTTTAATATGCTCTTCAACCTAGAGGTAAAGGGCACTTCTGAAGTGTCAGTGAGATTTGGAAAGCAAAACACCATCACAGGCCTGTTTTCTACCGAGAGAACTTCTAATATATTGTAGTAATATCTCTGATAGGTTCGAATGGGACTAAGGGCAAAGTGGCACAAATTTGCTTCCATTAGATTTTACGTTATTTTGAATAGGTAATGCATCCACATGGTTTAGAATTGGAAAATAAAAATCCCTCTCTTATCCTTGTCTCTCAGACACTTCATATCCCCTCCACGGAGGCAAGCAAAGTTACCAGACCTTGTGTAACCTTCCAGAGACATTCTATAAACATATAAACAAAAAAGAAAGCTGTTATATCTCAATAAAGCTGTTTTTAAAAGGAACCTATTTCTATAGTATAATCAAACGTTGTCTATTAAGTTCCCACATTACTATGTTTCTGAAGCAACATAAAACACAAACATAAAAGAATAAATTTAAGACTAAGACAGTTTTCTGATTTCATGTGATTTTACTTTTAAAATCTTGGTTTCTGAGATAGGAAAGTAGCTGAAATTACATTTCATGAATCTCTGTGACTGACAGATTGGATCATATGAGCCTTGTCAACTTAATAACCATTTTCTTGTTATCTTCCTCTTTTTTTTCTATTATGTTAATGCAAACAGATGTAGGTTTGTTTCCTATGCCTGTCACTTGCCGCTTTTCCTCACTCAAGTCCATAACTTAAAAATTACAATGTAGTGATTTATACAACGCACACTGTTTCCTTCATTTAGCAGCTAACTTTAAATTTTGGCTGACTGTCAAGGTCTGATAAGCAGTGATGGTGGGCCGGTAATTGGTGCTTACGTTACAAGAAAGATCAGCTAATACCACACCCATGCAAATGTAACCCCTAAAGGCTGTACTGTGATAAACAGCCCTTAAATCACTGCACCCACTTGAAGATTATACTCAGGTTTGAGGGCATCATGGCCGTTTGTTGACCTGGTTGGTTTTCATTTTGCCTCAAAAGTCAACCCAAAGGCCTAACTCAGAAAGGAGCACTTTGCTGTAGTGAAACAGACCTTGAGGGCAACTTGGGAACGTATTTAGAACCTTATAAATTTTCACACCCTTTTAAAAAATTTTTATTTATTTATTTTTGGCTGCGCACGTGCTTTCTCTAGTTGCGGCGAGCGGGGGCTACTCTTCGTTTTGGTTTGCCGGCTTCGCGGGCTTCTCATGGCGGTGGCTTCTCTGTTGCGGAGCACAGGCTCTAGGCGCACGGGCTTCAGTAGTTGTGGCGCATGGGCTTAGCTGCTCCACGGCATGTGGGATCTTCCCGGACCAGGGCTCGAACCCGTTTCCCCTGCATTGGCAGGCGGATTCTTAACCGCTGCACCACCAGGGAAGCCCCTCACACCCTTTGATTTGATAATTTCACTTTTTAAAAAAAATTATTTTATGTATTTAATTTTGGCTGCATTGGGTCTTCATTGCTGCGCGCGGGCTTTCTCTAGTTGCGGCGAGCGGGGGCTGCTCTTCGTTGTGGTGTGCAGGCGTCTCATTGCGGTGGCTTCTCTTGTTGCCGAGCACAGGCTCTAGGCTCACAGGCTTCAGTAATTGTGGCTCGCGGGCTCTAGAGCGCAGGCTCAGTAGTCATGGCACATGGGCTTTGTTGCTCTGTGGCAAGTGGGATCTTCCCGGCCCAGGGCGCGAACCCGTGTCCCCTGCATTGGCAGGTGGATTCTTAACCACTGCGCCACCAGGGAAACCCGATAATTTCACTTTTACTTTTATAAGGTAAAAGAAATGCAGGAAATCCTTACATGTTTTGTTTGACATAAATGTTTTACACAACATAGTCAATAATAAAAAACTGGAAATGATCTAAGTCATATATAGGAAATGATTACTATGATATGCTCATAAGATGTATAGTACTTATCCATTTAAATACTTAATGACTTGGGGGAAATGCTAATGATATGGCAAATAACCAAGAGCAGGATATAAAATTTTATGTACATTATGATTCTAATTTTATTTTATTAAAAATTTATATTTATAGAAAAAAGACTGGTTATCTGTGGATGGTGGGATTAGAGATATTTATTTCCTTCTGTACACTTCTTCTTAGTCCAAGTAAACATACATTATCTTTTTTAAAAAACTGAAGTATAGTTGATTTACAGTGTTGTGTTAGTTTCTGGTGTACAGCGACGTGACTCAGTTATTATATATATATATATATATATATATATATATATATATATATATTCTGAAGAATACATATATATATTCTTTTTCACATTCTTTTCCATTATGCCTTATTATAGGGTATTGAATATAGTTCCCTGTGCTAAACAGTAGGACCTTGTTGTTTATCAGTTTTATGTATTTTAGTTTGTATCTGCTAGTCCCAACCTCCTAGTTTATTTCTCCCCACCCACTTTCCCCTTTGGTAACCATAAGTTTGTTTTCTATGTCTGTGAGTCTGTTTCTGTTTCATAAATAAGTTCATTTGTGTCATATTTTAGATTCTACATATAAGTGATATATGGTATTTGTCTTTCTGTCTGACTTACTTCACTTAGTATGATAATCTCTAGGTCCATCTATGTTGCTGCAAATGGCATTATTTCCTTTTTACGGCTGAGTAATATTCCATTACACACACACACACACACACACACACACACCAACACACAGACACACTCACACACATACCACATCTTCTTTATTCATTCATCTGTCGATGGACATTTAAGTTGCTTCCATAGACGTACGTTATCTTTATAACAGGGAAGACATCAGTATTTCTTTTAAAGAGATCCACTTGGCTCCTTTGTTTCTTCTGATGTTATATTGTTTAAGAATCTCCTCACCAATCTCACATTGTTTAAAGTTATATTCTCATGCCCACATAAAGCTATTATTGCCCCCTTCCTCTTTGTGATGATCCCATATCAGCCCACTCATCATTTAAAAACTGCTCGGATGAATTGGGAGATTGGGATTGACATATATACACTAATCTGTATAGAATGGGTAACTAATAAGAACCTACTGTATAAAAAAAAAAAAAAAATTCAAAAATTCAAAAAAACCCCAAAACCAAAAACCACTGCTTGGACATGCAGTTTTTCAATTTTACCCTCATCCTGCCAATTGAGCTGTTTAAAAATGAGTACATTAAAAAAAATTTACTGCTATTTATTTTAAATAAGAATTTTTTATCGAGGTATTTTGATTTATAATTAGTTTCAGGTGTGCAATATAGTGATTCAGAATTTTTATAGATTATATAGTCCATTTAAAGTTATTATAAAATATTGGCTGTATTCCCTGTGCTATACATTATATCCTTGTAGCTTATTTATTTTATATATAGTCATTTGTGTCTCTTAATCCCCTACCCTTACATTGCCCCCCCTTCCCTCTCCCCATTGGTAATCACTAGTTTGTTCTCTGTATCTGTGAGCCTATTTCCATTTTGTTATATTAATTTTTTATTTAGATTGCACATACAAGTGATAATATATAGTATTTGTCTTTCTCTGTCTGACTTGTTTCACTAAACGTAATGCCCTCCAAGTCTATCCATGTTGTTGCAAACAGCAAAATTACATTCTTTTTTATGGCTGAGTACCATTCTATTTTGTGTGTGTGTGTGTGTGTGTGTGTGTGTGTGTGTGTATACATACACACCACATCTCTTTATCCCTTTTTTAAAAATTGAATTATAGTTGATTTACATTATTAGTTTCAAGTATACAGCATAGTGATTCAGTATTTTTACAGATTATATTCCATTAAAAGTTATTAGAAGAATAATGGCTATAATTCCCTGTACTATATAATATATCCTTGTTGCTTATTTATTTTATACATAGTAGTTTATATCTCCGAATCCTATATCCCTATCTCACCCCTCCCCTCTTCCCACTCCCCACTAGTAACCACTAGTTTGTTTTCTATATCTGTGAGTCTGCTTCTGTTTTATTATATACGTTTGTTTGGTTTATTTTTTAGATTCTACATATAAGCGATATCATATAGTATCTGTCTTTCCCTGTTTGACTTATTTCACTAAGCATAATATTCTCTAGGTCTATCTGTGTTGTTGCAAATGGCAGAATTTCTTTTTTATGGCTGAATAATATATATCTATTTCACATCTTCTTTATCCACTCATCTATTGATGGACACTTGGGTTGTTTCCTTATCTTGGCAATTGTAAATAGTGCTGCTGTGAACATTGAGGTGCAGGTATCTTTTTGAATTAGTGTTTTTGTTTTTTCTGGATATATACCCAGGAATGGAATCGCTGGATCATATGGTAGTTCTATTTTTAGTTTTTTGAGGAGCATCCATATTGTTTTCCACAGTGGCTGCATCAATTTACATTCCCATCAACAGTGTAGGAGGTTCCCTTTTCTCTACATTCTCTCCAACATTTGTTATTTGTGTTCTTCCTGATGATGGCCATTCAGATAGGTGTGAGGTGATATCTCTTTGTTCCTTTGATTTGCATTTCTCTGATAATTAGCCATGTTGAGTGTCTTTTCATATGCCTGTTAGTCATCTGTGTATCTTCTTTGGAAAAATGTCTATTCAGGTCTTCTGCCCATTTTTTTTGATTGGGTTATTTGGGTTTTTTTGATATTGACTTTGTATGAACTATTTATATAATAAATAGTATATAATGTATTTATAAATGTATATAAATACATTTATATTTTATATATTTAATATGTTTTTTAACATATTATATATATTTTAATATAGTTTGGATATTACTCCCTTGTCGAAAAATGAGTACTTCTTTAGTACAAGGTAGAAATTCTACATGTCAGAAGTTTTTTTCTAAAGAGTTCTATTTATCAATGTCACCTTCAGTGGCATTATAGATGGTTTGATTATATTGCGAAATTAACTAGTTGTAATAATCTGTATTAGATATAGATTTCATAATATTAGGTTGTATCATTACTCTATGGACATTTATATTTGGTACTTTTGTAAATGTAGTAGTTCGTTTAAAAAGAACTTTTTCAAAGCACAAATATACCTGTTGTTTTAGTATATTTTAGTAGTCCTTCCAAATTCCCATGAGATACCAACTCATCCCTACCTAATAGATGAAAAAACAAGCACAAGAAAATTATATGCTTTACTTTGTATATTTTATTCACTTTGAATGACAGGGCCTGGACTCAACTGAACTCTCCAAGAGCCCAAGGAAGAAGTCAAAGCTTCCAAATGAAAATCATTACATAGTGTTGCCTAAAAGGAGCCCAGAACTCACTGAGAGTTCAGTGAGTTACAGATCTCCTAAGTGAGCTAGAGCTGAGGTTTAAACACTTGAGTTGAAGAGAAAGAAAAAACTAAGTACTTAATGAGTTAAATGTACTCTCGTGATTAGGCTTCCGTTGTCGAGACAAATCACAGGTTTGGAAGACTCTCTTCTGGCAGCTGCCATAGGGCTTCAAGCAGAGGGTGAGCTAGGACATGTGAAGCTACATATTGAATTAGGGGATGAGGTAAAGACATACAGACATCTGATGTGGTTCAAGTTCGGGTAACCAATTTAGAGACTGTGTTATTTATGGTGAGAATACAATGTGACCATGAATGATTTATGAAGGCGATATCATAGTTTAGAGGTATGTGTATGCTTTCATTTTCTCTGTGTATTTTAAACAATCTAACATAATTGGCCTTGTGCTTGGAAGGCCAGTTATTTCCTATTGTTCTCAGTTTCTGATTTTATTAAAGTACTTTCATTTTGACAAAAATCCTCAATCCAGAACAGCCTTTGCTTTAATTCCTCCTCATATCTTCTCTTTCTCCCCCTCCCCACAACTTATAACAGCAACTTTGAAGCCAATGTATGTAGGTGGTTTCCATGGTGCAAGACAACAGCTTTCACAGGGAGAGAGGGCGCTTCAGCCTGAGCTAATTGGGCATGACGTGTTCCAGTGTTCTGGTGTGTAAACACAGATGCCCTAATGTTGCAGGTATTTTAGCATTTGATCAGGCACGTCAGAAACGGGAAACATTTAGTCTCATTATCTGGGTGACAAAGCAGTGGAGGAGGATGGGCAACAGTGCGGGGGATTGGCTCATTTGAGTCATGCTATACCTAACTCCCTTAACTGTTTCTGTGTTCCTATTGGCAGGACCAGGAAGAACAAGCTTACTTTGCAGTGTTTGATGGCCATGGGGGAGTGGACGCTGCCATTTATGCCTCCATTCACCTGCATGTTAACTTAGTACGCCAGGAGATGTTCCCCCATGATCCTGCTGAGGCCCTGTGCCGGGCCTTCCGGGTCACTGACGAGCGGTTTGTACAGAAAGCAGCCAGGGAGGTATGCCGTTTCCACATAAATTCCAGCCATGATGTATTAGCTGAGATCTACTTGTTCTGTGGCTAAAAGGCTATTTTGGATTTTCTCTTGTGGTAGACATTATTTAAAGCTCTCTTCCAAACTATATTCTTGACACACAGTATTGGATTGTTGTAGTTCTAACTCCCTCTTTAGGAATAGATTTAGTGGGGTGCTATGATGTACTGTATAGAAACTCCCAAGCTATAATTTTCTAGAAAGCCAGTCCATTGCTGGATCTGGCAGGTGACTTTTATCTTATTCACCATTGCCTGTCAGGTTCACACCAGGACCATCTCTCTAAGCAGACTTTTGCTGACAAAATCTGGATATGGTGATTAAAACAGTGGTCTATAAAAGAGAAACAGAAGCTGGGATTTCTCGATACAGTTGGTCCTAAATGGGTCGGCAGTGTTTTGCTGTGTATCTCTTGAAGAAAGTTTTGCTTGGAGAGAGTGAATCCTTAGATGATCCTTGAACTGATTTTCTCTTAACAGGAAGAAAGGTCAGAGCTCATGTCCTAATTTCTTAAGGTTAATCAGACCTAAGGTTTTACTCTGAATGAATGACAGGGGCTCTAAATTAAGATCTAAAAGTAAAAATTTTAATCTATTATCATTCTGGGCATTGGTACACAATTAACTACAGGACTTTATGTTCATTTCCAACTAGGGACTAACAGGAAGAGAATAACTTTTAATTTTAAAAAGTAATTGTAGAATTGTATACACACAGAAAATAAGACTCCTGCCCTATGACTTAAACATTATTAACTCTTTTTGAAATGGAGAGAACAGGGTAATCATTGAATCCTTTTCTTTGATCTCATAGTTATGCTACACAGCAACAGTGGGGTTTGGAATTAATGAAGCAATAATTCAGAACTACTTGGTGTTAAGCAAGGGCAGTATTCTCTATCTCCCCACCTGCACCCCAGGTTTAGTTAATATGCATATCCAACAGTAGTAACCACTGTGGTCTGCAAATAGAGGTGGGGCTAGAAAACAAAATACAGTTATTGACCTCAGACTGCCAGTCTCTGGAGGGCCAGCATTGCTTGGTTCTGCCTGTCTTGGAGCTGCCGGCTGTCATCATTCTGACTGAGGACAAGACCTGGCCCCTGAGAGGTGATCTGTACATCATCAACGTGAAACTAAGAGAATCACCTTGTCTTCCTCATCCTCCGTCCTATCCATTTTAAACTCTGTGTCCTCAAAATCATGGCTTTTTTTTCTGACCGTGTTCACCTCATTTGCTTTGCCAATGATCCTAGTGTCTCTTAGTCTTGCCAGCAGTTCTCGTGAATAATTTAGGTTTGTCTCAGCAGTTACTTTTCTCCTTGTGCTTCCATGTGCTGCTAACTGCTGGGAAGAAAGTAGCTATTCCTGTTGTGCAGCAGCCCTGCCTCCTGTTCTCTCAGGGGCATATGTACTGAAGTGTCTTTATCGTGTGTTCCAGGGGGCTGAGGTTTTGAACATTCTGTGTGGGAAGACATTTTATTGGTGGGTGAGGATTTATAACAAACTTTCCCTATATAGGGAGAATGAGAAGTTGTTTTCTCATTGGATACAAGGGGCCTTCTACCATCTTGACGCATTGGTTCTAATTTAGGCCAAGTCCTTAGTAACAGAAAGTCATGCTCGTTTGGTAGTGACTCATGTCAAATGGAGATGTCATTTTAGGATAGTAGTATCAAGTACATTAAGTACAGTGGTACTGAGCTATTGTGATGAAATTCCAGGCTGTTTGTTTTTTTATGCAGTGTTCCAAAAGCAAAGGTCCCTAAAATTATTGTAGGAAATTTTATTTTTGTTTTTTAAAGGTACAAGCAACTTAGCACTCCAGGGCTCCTGTTTTAATATCCAGAGTATGGAAGCATTTGTTGTGTACACACCAGATGCTTTGTATGTTATTTTATGAAGCCAGGACTCTCCCCCTGAACAAAACAGAGACCAGAGTATGGAAATCTTTACTCTAAGGACTGCTATAGTGGCTTAGCACTGGACTAGGAGGAAAAAATTTCAGTTCTGTTCTAATCAGTTACCTGATCTTGGGCAAGTCACATAACCTGCCATAGTACCTGTGTATAAAATGGAATGGATAATTGTCTCTGCCTTGCATATCACAGATAAAATGGATCTGTATGTGTGTGTGCACATATAAATACATACAAGCACATAAGAATGCACTGAGAAATGGGAATTGCTATTTGTGAAATCGAGTTATTAGTAGTCTAGCTTCCAACTGAAAAGTTTGTATTACCTATAAATTGCTTCTCAATGAGAATTTGCTGTCTACTTATTTTTAGTGACTCTTATTTAAATTACTTTCAGAGCTTAAGATGCGGGACCACAGGAGTGGTGACTTTTATCAGAGGCAACATGCTACATGTGGCCTGGGTAGGTGATTCCCAGGTTATGCTTGTGAGAAAGGGCCAAGCTGTTGAACTAATGAAGCCACACAAACCGGACAGAGAGGTAAGTGTGGTCTGTTCTGTTAGGGCACATGCCACAAAGGCAGTTTTCCAGTCACTGATTTTCACTTATTATTATAATTATCACCATTATCTCAGTAGCCATGCCCACCTTCCAAAGGAAAAATAAAGAGAACCCTTTCCAGGAAGCTGATGAGTATTATATCTGTTGTTTACTGTTAAGGTAGATGAATAAATCCTGAATCCAGTTATTTGCTTCTTTCTATTACATTACTGTACAGGATGAAAAGCAGCGAATTGAGGCCCTTGGAGGTTGTGTAGTCTGGTTTGGTGCCTGGAGGGTGAATGGAAGTCTGTCGGTCTCCAGAGCTATTGGTAGGAAAAACCGATTAATTTTTGTTTCTCCAAACTTCCTTTTCCAGAACACTGTCTTATATTAATCTGATACAACAAGGGAACCTGAGAAAATAACAGATTTTCAGAGTGCTTATTACTGTTTAAAATAACATTTGGATAATGCTTCTTTTAATTAATTATTTAACCTACTCATTTATATAAATTCCATTCTTAAAAGAACTATATTAAGAAATGTTCTCTTACAAGTTTCTTTTTTTAATGGAAGCCTTTAATCTTTAACATACAAATCTGCTTAAAACCACAGTGATTTTCATTCCATTTTGGGTCATACTTAGCTTAAATAAGTACTTGCCATAAAATAGAAGCTTCCCCCCCATATTTTACCTTCCTTATTGTATCTTTAGTTTTTTCAATGAATTCTAAAATGACACAAATAATGTGCTTTTTAGATGAAAACAATTTTTACTACATTAAAATTAGAAAACTAATTTTACTATATGTGGAATATAGTAATGTGTCAGATAACACTGGGGTTTCAGCGAATCTGCTTCCCTGGACCTAAATTCTTTAAAAGAAGGGGAAGTCGATAAAACTCTTTGTCTAAAATTGAGAGAGTAAACAGCTAAGCTGTTTGGACAGAATGCAAAGGTGTAGTTCAAAGAACTGGGCTATAAGTACTGTTTCTGTCTGTTTCACTTTTGCACCTGGGTCTATTGCTTTAGGCTTCATGGCTCAGCTCCACTTTATGTTTTTTTTTTAAAAGAACAAATCAAAGTGCGTGTGTCTGTATGGGTCGTATGCATATATGCATATAAACTGCAGTTCTCGGTCACTGCCTCCTAAATAAATGAAGAAGTCTGACATAGGGATAACATGGACAAATGGAATTGAGGTCTAATCCCCACATTTTGCTTATCATCACCAAAATATTCCAGGAACATTAACAGAATCTCAAAGGACTGATTTCAGTTTCACCACTGATGTGATTTCCCTCCTACTCTTTGGGAAGGTGCTGGCAAGCTGTGAAGTGGCCCAAATGGGAGCAGCAGAGGCTGAGAGAGAAGGAGGGAGCTCAGAGATTCTGCAGTACCTCTTGAAAAACTGAGAGCTGGCTTTACCTTAGACTGAGGGAATTATTAGGAACTCTGGAATAAGGCCAAAAGGGAGAAATTTCTGATTTCTAAAACACACCCTCAAATAGAATTATTTTTGACAACTCCAACCAAAGACCTCTTCTCTTGATCTGTCTTTGAGTATTGAGAAGTAACTTTAATGCTTGTTATAGAACCAACTTTATACTAGAGGATACTTATCATTTCTTGCTTCTAAAAATATGACACAAGGGGGAAAAGCAGGGAAAGAATGTCCTTGAATAAGTGACAATCTAAGAGAAAACCAGGCTGACTTCAGAGAGGAAGTGACTTCTGAAGTGGACATGGAGAATAGTGTGCAGAGAAGGACATCCCAGGTACGGCGAATACAAACACATGGGCATCTCAAAGGGCATGTCTTGTTTTAGGAACAGTGACAAGTGCAGGAGGCTGGGGCAGAGGGTGGGAGAGGGAAGAGAGAAGTGTTGGCACCAGAGTGCAAAGGGGCTTAAATGCCAGGCTAAGTGTCTGGACTTTGTCAGGTGAATAAGACGAGGGCCCATGTGGTCAGGTTTGTATTTATAAATGTTTGTAATAATTATGGAAGACGAACTAGAGTAGAAAGCCTAGATGAGAGGTCATTCAGGAGGCTGTTGATACAACTTGTTTCAGAGATAGGACAGCTAAAAACGGGATACAGAGGAGGGTATAAATTGCTGAGACAGAAACGACAGTTTGTGGGGGAAGAGGAAAGTTAACTTCCAGGTTTCGGACTTGTGTGACTGAGAAGACGATAAAACATTTGTAATAAAGCAGCAGCAGCAGTTTGGGAGTGGGGAGGAGGGCAGATAATGAGTTCATTTTGGACATATTTTATATTCTAGGTGCCTGTGGGATGTCTTGGAAGAGATAATTTATATGCAATTGGAAATACAGATCTGGACCTGAGCAGAGTTCTGAGTTAGAGATATGGGAATTCATCCCATTTTGGCAATAATATTAGCAACCTGTGAAGTGGTGGTGGTGGTGGTGGTGGTGGTGGTGGTGGTGGTGGTGTGTGTGTGTGTGTGTGTGTGTTAGTTGAAACTACAGGAATGGATGACCTTGCCGTGTGTGTGTGTGTGTGTGTGTGTGTGTGTGTGTGTGTGTGAGTTGAAACTACAGGAATGGATGACCTTGCCCAGGAATATTTCGTGTGAAGAGAGACCAAGGATGGGACTAACATGAACTCATGCTCTCTGGGCTTGTACCTTGGCTCTGCCACTTTACCAGCTGCGGGTCTTGAGAAACTTACTGCACTGCTCTGTATCTGTTTGTCCCTTAGTAAAGCAGGAATAGTAACAGTATCTAACTCATAGAGTTTCTGTATTAAATGGCATAATACACACACCACACTTAGAACCCTGTCTGGCACAGTCTTAGCACACAATGATTTTTGGTGATTTTAAGTGAAGGAGCCAGTGAAGAAAATCAGGAAGGGATCAGAGATATAGAAATGGGGTATCACAGATGCTGGGGAAGGGGGTTTCTAGGAGTATGTAGTCAACAGGGTCAAATGCTGCAGAGGTCAAGTCATAGAATTTTGAAAATAGAAAATGGTTGTGGATATAGGTGAGTCACTAAAGTTTTTTTTTTTTTTAAGTCAGAGGGAGGAATTGAGGGAATTCAGGCCTGATAAACTTAATTTTCTTTGAAGTAGGAAATTAGGCCATCTACCAAAATCCAGTAACTTAATTGGAAAGAGTTGAAGAATGTGAGAAAGATTTGGAAAGCTCATGGAATAAAATAGGGGCTAAATAAGGACAAGAAAAAGGACTCCTGGGACTTCCCTGGTGGCGCAGTGGTTAAGAATCTGCCTGCCAATGCAGGGGACACGGGTTCGAGCCCTGGTCCGGGAAGATCCCACATACTGCGGAGCAACTGAGCCCGTGCGCCACAACTACTAAGCCTGCGCTCTAGGGCCTGTGAGCCACAACTACTGAGCCCACACTCCAGAACTACTGATGCCCACACACCTAGAGCCTGTGCTCGGCAACAAGAGAAGCCACCGCAATGAGAAGCCCGTGCACCACAACAAGAAGTAGCCCCCGCTCGCCGCAACTAGAGGAAGCCAGGGCACAGCAATGAAGACCCAACACAGCCATACATAAATAAATAAATAAATTAATTAATTAATTAAAAAGAAAAAGGACTCCTGAGCAGAGTTCAACTCTACTTAGAAAGTAAATAACACTTAACACTTTAAAAATAAAACGCTTTTCAACTGTTTCTCCCCATGAGCCCTTCAGATTCATGATCCAAAGTTGACAAGAGGCATATGTTATCTAGCATATGGAGAGAGAAAGTTTTAGACAAAAGGATGTTGCCATTTCTACAATGAAATGGATAATTATGCCCTCCCACCAAATTTGGGGGCAAAATGTCATGAATTTGACATCCAACAGTAGATCAGGTGAAAAGCCAGAATTTTGGCAGCATTTTCTCTGTGCAGATCTTTGTATGTTCTGTTCCAAACTAACAGTTGCAGTAGCCTTTTAATTGAAGCACTAAGATTTTTGGGAACAGTATGACTCAGAACACATTTATTTTTAGAGTTGGAATTCAGAAAATAATGATGATAATAATACAGTCAGGTGGAGTAGGGAATGGGGAAATTTAGTAAAGTGGATTGGTGGAGGACACTGAATCCCCAGTGATTGGAAGTTCTGTTTTTGATTTTGTTTTTGTTTTTTGGTTTTTTTTTTGCGGTATGCGGGCCTCTCACTGTTGTGGCTTCTCCCATTGCGGAGCACAGGCTCTGGACGCGCAGGCTCAGCGGCCATGGCTCATGGGCCCAGCTGCTCCGCGGCATGTGGGATCTTCCCGGACCGGGGCACGAACCCGTGTCCCCTGCATCGGCAGGCGGACTCTCAACCACTGCATCACCAGGGAAGCCTGATTGGAAGTTTTAATTAGCTTTAACAGGCTATTGGGAGGTGCCATAGTATAGCAGTGAAGTTGACGAAATCAAAACCATACTTGAGGAAGATGGTTCTGGCTACCTTAGTCTGTGAAAAAGACTAGTTTATTACTTTGTAGATGAACTAACCCAGGTAATTAAATATTAAGTAAGTATCTGTTGTTCAGGGTGTCCCGTCATGCAGCCTGCTCGTTAGGGTATGTGGCCCACAGTGGTTCTAGCAGAGTTATCCATAGGGTTCCCATTGAGCTTTAAGGGCCTATTTGAGGATTAAACAGGGATGTTAAATATTGGAGAGAACTTTCCTTGGGTAGGAGAGAACCTATAACAGATATCAGAAACAGTGACAATATGGCCACATCGTTTAAGTAAGTATATGTAACTTCATTTTATCTTCCCCTAAGCAGATAGTTCAGTTTTAGTACAATAAAATGGACAGTAATTGAAGAGGGTTTGTAAGTAACAAATGCTAAGATCTGGATGCAGGCAGTCTGACTCCAGGGCTTGCACTGTTAACCACTATAAGCTATATGCTACCGCTTTAAGAATGATAAAGCATTCTGTAAAAAAAAAAAAAAAAAATTTTTTTTAACTACTGTTTGCCAATGAATTATGATACCCTAAACTAGGAACTATTGCTCAATACTCCATGTTTTTTATGTAAAGAAGTAAATGAGTATCCCTTGTAGTAATGTTATTTGGTTACCCAACAGGCAAAGGACCTGTTTGCTAAGGCTCTCTCCAAGTACTAAAGGAAAACAACGAATATAAACAAGCAAGGGATCTGGAAGTGCTCTGGATCTGAAAGTTCCAAAATGCACTGTAGATGATGAATTATCTCAGTAATCTGGTGACAGAAACCTAGCTTAGTTGGGCCCCAGGTCTCCAGTCTGTTGCCACTCCAAGCACCCAATATTCAAGTACAAATTACTCCCTAACAGTTACCTCTATCTTTGCTGATACTGTTCCCTCAACAGAGGACCCTTCTCTGCTTAGGCCATTTGAGCTGGCCATAAACATTTTTACATGCAAGATAAACCAAAATCTGACCTATTTTCTAATTCCCACAGGAGATGCTGAACATAAGCCATATATCTGTGGGGATGCAGATTCTGCCTCTACTGTTTTGGATGGAACTGAAGACTACCTCATTCTGGCCTGTGATGGCTTCTATGATACCGTGAACCCTGATGAGGCAGTGAAAGTTGTGTCTGATCACTTGAAGGAGAATAATGGAGACAGCAGCATGGTTGCCCACAAATTAGTGGCATCAGCTCGTGATGCTGGGTCAAGTGATAACATCACTGTTATTGTGGTATTCCTGAGGGACATGAACAAAGCTGTAAATGTTAGTGAGGAATCAGATTGGACAGAGAACTCTTTTCAAGGAGGGCAAGAAGATGGTGGGGATGATAAGGAGAATCATGGAGAGTGCAAACGCCCTTGGCCTCAGCACCAGTGCTCAGCACCAGCCGATCTAGGCTATGATGGGCGTGTGGATTCATTCACTGATAGAACTAGCCTGAGCCCAGGGTCCCAAATCAACGTGCTGGAAGACCCAGGCTACCTAGATCTCACACAAATAGAAGCAAGCAAACCTCACAGTGCCCAGTTTTTGCCACCAGTTGAGATGTTTGGTCCTGGTGCACCAAAGAAAGCAAATTTTATTAATGAGCTAATAATGGAGGAAAAATCAGTTCAATCATCATTGCCTGAACGGAGTGGTGCTGGAGAGTTTCCCTCTTCTTTTAATTTGGGTTCAGCAGGAGAGTTTCCCTCTTCTTTTAATTTGGGTGCAGCAGGGCAGCAGATATGCAGAATGGAGAGCTTGTCTCCTGTTTGTTCTAGGCTGGAAAATGAACAGTTCAAATTCCTGGGAAAGAGAGTTTCTAGATTGTATCGTTTACACTACCACTACTCAAAGAGGCGGCACGGATTCAGGTTTAATCCAAAGTTTTATTCTTTTCTCTCCGCTCGAGAGCCTTCCCACAAAACAGGCACTAGCCTGTCCTCACTTATTCGAAGTGGGAAGAGAAATAGGATGTTAAGAAGTTCTCTGCCATGGAGACAAAACAGTTGGAAAGGGTACAGTGAAAACATGATGGGGAAGCTTAAAAAGAGTAATGCTGTTCCATACCCAGCTCTTCCCTGGAGTTTTAAAATATAATAAATAACTTTCTCTTTAAAGTAGGCTAGCTAGCTCTTCCCCAATAAAGACATCACTATCAGAGTAGAAACAAGGTAGACATTTCTGAAATATTGTGTGCTTCATTATGATGAGCCGTGGATGGCTCAACTCTTAAATGTAAATAGATCTCTAGGAAACTCACTACAGTGTTTTCAATCTAATAAAAAAGTACTGGCGGTTTCACTAGCAAAATTATACACCTGGTCCCAGTGACGTGTCTCTGTACCTACGTACCACCCCCACCCCATGACCCCTTCACGTCACTAGTGGAAGCTTGCAAGTTGGTTATTTCAGTCAGGAGATATAGTGTTGAAATCTCACGGCAGGTGAAATCTGTTCTGATGTGCCTAATATATCTCTGGAAAACTTAATGCAGAATTAGATCTAGTTGGGGAATGTTCCTCAAAAGAGTGGGGACTAAGGGAAAGCCCCTCCCCTTTTTTGGTAGGTAAAAGGCTAAAAGCCACATGGGTTTTAACTGGTAACAATGAAAGTAGAAAACTAGCGTAAAAAAGGTCATATTCTCAGACTTGTGAGGTGGTATATAGTCAAACAGATTCACTAATTTTTTCCTGTAACATAGAAGACCAACAATGAAAATTTTTTGAATTAAACAGTATTTCCTAGGGCTGTAGCTATTTGGGAGTTTCATAACCTGTTATGGTGCTTTTGACGGAATTATTATTTTTTACAAGACTGCTGTCAATTGGTTTTAACCTATGATGCTAATGTGTTTTTCACTGTACCTTCATCTCAGGAGTAAAACTTCTTTAATGGAGATGATTTCAGGTACAGACATACTAGAATCAAGTTGCCATTTTAAAAGAAAATCAAATAGTATTTCTATTTTTTTCTGCCTTTTTTTTTTTTAAAAAAAGTTCAGACAGCAAAGGCATGTACTATGATCAAATAAAAAGTGGTGTTGGAGAATGAAAAATATTAGTTTTAACTTCTCTAACATTGTTTCCCCCAAGGGAATGAAATTGGTGTGGAAGAGGCTGAAAGTACTGCCTAAAGTGAGCCCAGAGGCCAAGTGCAAAGGAGAATGCAGATTACTGCAGCTGAGATCTGTTTAGTTGTAAATTTGAGTCCTGCAGCGTCAGACCAAATAGTACACGTTTCTCTTTTCAATATTTATTTACATTTGATACTCTGAAATTGTCTGCTTTTTGTCGTTTCTACAGTTTCAAGTCAGAACCATATCTGCAACTAGAGGCGGCAAATAAACTAATAATCAGATTCATTCAGTGAGGCAGCCTGATTCTTTGAGAATCATGAGTGTCTCCACGTGACATTTCACCCTCCCCCAGTCGAGCATGGAGCAGTCACGCCAATGCACAGGAGCTGCCTGCTGCAGGGCTCACTCCCTCATACTGTTGGGGGGTGCTAAATGCTCTTGCTGGGAAACGTGCACTGAGCCATCCTGTTTTAACATAATACTAACACAGTAATAACTTTATGTTCCCCAGACTCATAATGGAGGACTAAGGTTCCTGGATCTTAAAAACAGAGGACTGCAGCATATTTTGGGGTGCCAGTGTAGCTATACCAAACAAATAAAAACAGATTCACTTTAGCAACAGATTGATAATCTACAGATTTTACTTTTTAAAATTTGGATGTAAGTAGAGATTTTCAGTATTTGTTTTCCCTTATTTTGAAGTCATTTCTTCTCAAGTCTTGTGACACATGGCTGAAAAGGAGGGAGCACCCATGGCTCCAACCGTAGTACCAGAATCTTTTCACCATCCTGATGCTTTACCCCCATACATGGACCTCACTCACATCTGTCATTTTTGGAAGCCTAGATCTTGTTAACAACCCATCAGGTGCAGTGTCAGTTTCAAATCAAATTATCATCTAAGGAAGCAAGAAAACAGAGGCAGCAGAACACTGGTATATATTATAGCCCAAAGCACTAAGCTAAGTTAAAAATTTTAAAAAGATTTTTCTATAGTTGTCTATTGCTAATGATTTTGATCAGAATAAAGAAGGTGAAAGGAAATAAGGTACAAATGACAGGTTTTTTTCAGTGGGGAAAAATGGTTGGATGAAATTGGGACTAAAAGACCACATCTTTAAGGGTCTGAATTTTGTAGGTGTAACTACATAAGCAGTGTTAACTCCATTTCTGATACCAGTAGCCCTCTAGAAAATAAAGCAAAGCAAAGTAGTTCTAGTGTGGTCACGTTATAAGCCAATATTGTAAAAAATAGCAACTACTGTTCATTTGTTCACGACATGCATATTTATAGAATAGTTAGGTACCACTTGTAAGGTAAGTCCTTTAAAATTCTATAATACATATTAAAGTAGTGGTTATTGGTCTGATATATACTGCTCTTGGTTCTATAAACTAGATAAAAAGCAGTGCTTTGTGAAATGCAGTGTTATATCTTAATGCCACTGGTGATAGAAAGTAGTTCCCTTCAGTTCAAATCCTGTGCCCTCATCTGCTGCTTGCTGACGTAAGCAATAAGTCCCCCCTCTTACTAATGGTGTCTACACATTTCTGTAACTTGTATTTAATGATGGTGTATCTGGTGATTGTAAAAATATTAGACAGATATAAAAGTATATAATATATATTAACCGTTAATGCTGAGGTACAGTCTGAATTATGTGTCTTGTACTTTTATTCATTGTGTAATTTAGTGATGGTGGAAGTTCTACATTCAGTCCTTAAGATGGCAGTATCCCTTGTACAATTTAACATGATCTGCATCAACTTGTTTGCTTGCTAAAGTTTTGTTAGAATAGGAAATAATAAATATAAAAAAGAGTGTAGTACTGGTTAGGGAAACAGACTTCAAGTCACTAACTGAAGTCAATACAAACTCCTTGTACATTCACTGTGAGTTTCAACGGGAATCAGTCCCTAATTTAAAGGTTTCCTTTGTTCACTTTCTGGATGTGTACTTTTGAGGGATATCTGAGGTTAAGCAACATTACAGCACCAAACACTGGGGCTATTAATCCCATTTAGGTCTGTACTGAAAAGGATGGTGGAAATACATGTATATATCTTTTCTTTACCTAAAAGTGCCATCCATTGTCCTTGAATTAATATAAAGTTACTGTTGCATTTAATTTAACTAGGAGGATCCTCGAAAGTTAACACCTTTTCCAAGGACAATGTCAACAATGTCAATGTCAACACTGAGTCTGATTCTGACCACATTTGTAGTGGTACTACAGTGTCAGCGTGGTGGGGTAGTGTCACACTGCATCTTCATGACAACCATACTCCTTTGTTGGAACACTGTGCCAGTAAGAAGCACAACATCCAACGGGCAGATGAAATGATGCATAAAGAAGTTAAGTGTTTACAGATAAAACTGCTGTGGTTCAAGTTCTTCCTTCCCCATCAAAGGCTTGCTGAGGCTTTGTGAGAAAGTGATCTAAATTATTATTTTAATGTTTGTTTAAACATAATTTGTTCACTCAGTGATCATTCACACCGAAGCAATGCCATAAAAGTTTTGGTCATACCATAATTTAGGAGAATTAGTCTTTGGATCATTAGAAAAAGAAAGAACATGCTTCTTTTTCACCTTTTAAAATCACGTGACGGTAAAGGACATATACCCACTCTTCTGTTCTGACCCGTGAATAGCCTAAATGCTTTTTTCCAAAACAAGATACTTCCAGTGTTATGACTATTTCCCAGAAATGGTACTGTGTTGAAAAATAATTGTTACTTCCTCTAGCAGCATTTTATCTTCTGTTTTAAAGACTACATTGTACTAATCAGAAAATATGAAATAAAAGATAGGGAGCTCCAGATTGACACAGCAGTTGTTCTGGAAAAGGAAAATAAATACTCTGATAAACTTTGGTGTATGAAATAACGTACAGACACGTCAGTGTTACCTCTTACTCTAGGTGCTCTTTGGTGAGAGACAGGCTTTGTTCTCTTGTTCATGACATTTCTCTGCAAAGAATTCTCTATGGAGTGGAGCAAATGAAGTGAATCATTTCTTACTAAGCAAATTTATCAATTTATAAATCTTCTCTACAGCTCACTTTTGAGTTCAGTTGTAATCATGAGTGATCCTTCATATTTTATTAAAATTGTTCATTCAGGTAAGAAGTATGTTGAAATTTTGCCAATACCTTAATAAAACCCAGCAACTTAAAACCTACTAGGCATTTGTCTTTTTTATTCAAAGGAAGGTTATTTAGTGCTGGGATTTAGGTTGATTCCCTCAGAACTGAAAATAAAATCCTGAGGTGGCAGTTTTCTAAACTTCTTAAAGTGGGAACATTTTAAAAAGAAAGTTTGCTAAGTGCTGCTACAACTGTTATTCTCTCCCCAGAAAAACCGGAAGAGATAGATATATCTCATCTTACACGTTTCCCCCATCAGTTTAATGTTGGGGGCAGCGGGTTATCCTAAAATAGATGAATGAGGAACAGGACCTGCCAACGGCTAAGTGCTGACTCCTCCAATCTCCAACTACTTTATTCTTCAAACTCTGCATCCAGCCCAAGTTCTTCCCTCTCCCTTAAGTCTTTCCCCTTTTCGTTTCAAACTGGAAGGAAGGAAATAATCAGGTGAATTGTGGCTGAAAGTCTGTCAGGAAGAATGCTTTAAGAGAGTAACAGGAGATAGATAAAAAAAAAAAAAGAAAGAAAGGACAATGTGGGGGACAGAAATAAAGCTGATAAAACAAGACATCTCCATCTAAGGGAATGGCATTAAACCTGAAAAATAAGTAAACCTAATCAATACACTGCATTCTTACCCTCCTCTCCCCACCATTAATTCCTAGAAAATTAATTTCATAGTTATAACAACCTTAAACTCCTAATTACTTAAATTCATTCAAGTACTTAGTATGACTCTATATAGACCCCAAAGAAAGAATAATTGAGGAAACAAAGTGAAGGTCTGCAAGAATCATGTATTTGCAAGAGTTTGCTAAAGCAGGGAATGAAAGAAAAGCAATATTTTGATAAGTATTATTTATACTTGA